AGGCATGTTCTTATGAAGCTGTTGGAGATCTTTAGGTGAAGGTGGTCTTTAACTGTCAGGTTTTCTTTCTCACTTTCTCACTAGTAAAATACTAGTGTAGTATTTTACCATATAATAGCTTTTGAATAAAGTGAAATGTCACTTGTGTAATTTTTAGTGATATTGAGCAGGTACTCTTATTTTGTCTTTACAGTGTTTTGGGGGGACCCAGTTTTCACAGTTGTTGAGTCTTTCAGTTCCTGTTGATTTGTTCAGAGCTTTCAATTTCCTCATGTTTCTGAAAACGGTGGATTTTATTTCAGTCATATATATCTCATGATGCATGTGTGGGTTTCTCTTTGTTTTTTTTAGCCTGAGATAATTCAGATAAATAGGTTTAGTGGCCTGAAACACACCTTACTCAGAAAGTACTGGGCTACATTTGTAGTCTTAGGGAATACTTTGTATATATCCTTCACTTGTCATTGATAGGCTCAGTCTATTAACTTTTAAAATGTATTCATTTATCTTGAGTTCACTTTCAGTAGTGTTGTCTGTTTCAAAACAGCTTCGTTGCTTTGATTTTTATTAATGGTTTGCATGGAATGTATCTGGAAAAGTTTCTTGTGTATTACATCTTTCTATTGCTGCTTCAATTCCTTTGTAGTTTTAAGTCTTTATTGTGATTCCTAAATAAACCCTTTTTATAAGTATTTTCTTTATTTCTTTTGCTGTTCTTTGCTGCAGTTATAGCTCTTTTCAGTTCAGGTGCCTTTAGTGTTGTTTTTCTAGTTAGCGTTTCCTGGAGTTAAATAGCTGTCTCTCAGACCTCTTCTGTAGCCAGATCTGTACAAAGGTTCTAGGCAAAGTATAAGCTTTATTGCTAGAGCTCCCTCCTCTCCCTGAGCTTCCCAATTTTTTTTTTCTTTAAGTTTTGCAGCTACAAGACTGTCTATTAATAGAATTAGGCATTTTTTGGTTGTGTAGGAATGTAGCCATTATCTTTAGTAATACCCCAATTCCTAGTTCCTGGAGCCAATTCTTGGGCATTTTGCCCAGTGATAATGCCCAGGGCAAAATGGTCTCTATGAGATACATAATTCCTACTAAGCAGTTTTAAAATTTTGATTTCTGGCCAGTTTGCTTTTACAGCTAAGAAAATCGGCTCTAGAGATACCTTTGTGGTTCCAGTTGTTAGGTGCTTTTGCCTTGTGAATTTCTATTTCGTTTTAGTTCCTGAAACTTCCAGTGCTTCCTCTGAAAAGGTTGAGAGGCAAACTTCGGTTTCCTGGGTGAAGTTTCTAACAGCCTATTTTATATTCATGGATATTTGGAGTGTGGGGCCATGTAGAATACACCTGCTGGAGCTCTTGCATTTCTGGAAAGACTTTTTGGCTGTCCCATCTTTTGCTCCTGTGCCTGCCACGTTTGTTACTTTTAGAGCCGATTTCATAATTCCTGCATTACAACGAGCGCTCTGAGAGAAGGCTGCAGGCAGTTAGCTATCGACTATTGACTGTTGAGGGCATTGATACCTGTCTGCTCACCAGTCTCACCAAGCAGCAAGCAAAGACTTACAACACTTTTGTCTGGGATTTTCCAGCTGTTAATACATACGTTTTGTAGCGTATAAGCAGCAAATCCATATTTAAGAAGCGCTGGGCCTGCTTGTGTGCTCTTCAGGTGACCTGTCTATGTGCTGAAAGACCAACATACATTCAGTTTGCGTTGGCGTTGCTGTGAAGAGCAGATCACCTGCACAAATTGAATGAGTACTTTGAATGTATGGGGTGTTGGTCTCATGCATGAGTTTATTTGTGCACGTGTATTGGACATGTCCAGATTTCTAATGTTTGACTGGGACGGTAGCAGTGAGTAGTCTCAGTTATTTTGTCTGAAGTCTAGAAATTCAGATGATATGCTTAATTTTTTCACATTCTGCTGGGAAAACATTGCTGGGTTTCTGTGCTGGTTTTGGCTGGGATAGAGTTAATTTTCTTCAGGTGAGGAACACAAAGATGCTTTGGGGAAACAAGACAATAGATTCAGCGAATCCTTTGGTACTTTGCAAGTGGCTTAATTGATGTATACTGCACATCTATGTTTATCTTACCAACTTTTAGACATCTGAAATCAGAAGCCAGGTTTGCTCTACAGTAAATGCTGGGGAGGTAGGGGGGGGGAGTTGGAAACTCCAGATGGTTTTCCTTCATAAATGTTTATTTTGGTATAAACTGAATCACTGTCTGGAGTGTCCACCAGAGAGGAAATGTAGATGTTTCTGCTGTAGAGGGAACATAGGTGCCTAGCTTTGATTTATATCTAAACCTAGGTGAAATAAATTTCCAGTTTTACTGGTTGCTGGCAGATGTGTTCATAATCTACTGGCATGCTTGAGAAGCCACTCGATTGTCCAAGTTTGTAGAATGTTTAACTGTAATTGATTTTTTTGGATAGCCTGATTTTCCAGAGCTTGGTTTTCACCAGGAACCTTCTGTGGCACAAGCGCCGAGTGCTGTTCCCTCTCAAGGCATTATTTTCAATAGTTTGCTTGTTCTGTGTGTCTTATTTCTTGTGCTTTTTATCCTTGCTCTCACCTGGTTAGGTTTATACTCCATCTTCCTATTTTATCTAGGCTTGAAACTAGACATCCTGCCCAAATACAGGCGGAGAAATTATGTCAGTGAAATAATGTGTTGTTCTTGCACATGTGCAGCTAGACAAGTTACTTTATCAAAATAACTACCTGCCCTCTTCATTGACTCATTGCAGATTCTCAGTTTTCAGGATCATATGTGACTGGATGAATTACCCTCTGGTTTTACTGCAGAGTCTTTATTACAACAAACAAAAGTCAGTTTGTTTTCATTTTGGTTTTGCTTATTAAAAAAAATGATTTTACGTGTGTTAGTACATTAAAATTCAGACTCACGTAGGAATCTTATTTGTTGTCCATGATTTTTACCCAAGATCTAGAATATGATTTTTAATTTATTTTAAATCTGGTCTTGTCCTTGTGTTGAGAAATGTCATGCGTGTAGGCATAAAGTGACCTTCTGGTGTGTAGTTCCCACAAATATAAAATATGGCATTATCAGTTTAGAAGTAATACCTAGTTAATGCTGTAATACCCAGTCTGCTCAAGCAACATCCATTGCTCTTATTCTTTTTGGCTAAAAAAACTATTTCTCAGTTTATTCTAGAATCTTTTGACAGAATGATATAGAGCTCCTCTGATGGTGCAGTACTTATTTAGGGAAAGGATCATAATATAGTCAGAATTAAGTGCGTGTTTAAAATGCACGCGGCTCCCTCTGGAAATTTGAAAACTTCAGAATCTTTCAGGAGCATGGTCCACTTTACCCTGCGACACGACTATAAATCATTGGAAAAGTGGGCTTTTTGCCACAAAAGCATGGATTTCTTCTTCAAACGGTGACTAAAATCTCATAACTTTTATTGCAAATGATATATGAAACATAATCAAAAATATGGTGTCTGATCTATATTGGCAATAAATATTTTGTTACTGGCAATTGGCTTCAAATGATCTTAGAATTTTTAATCATAACAAGTAACCTTAAGCATAAAAGATGAAATGCAGAGCACTTTTCCAAGAATCCTTATTGTTTTAATCAAAATGACAAATTACGATCCTGATTCTGCAAAAACTTAAAAACTTATCTTTGTATTTATATTTTTATCCTGTGATTAGCTTCAGGGCAGTCCTCGGGATTTGCTTTCTCTGTGTGAAGTTTAGCATGTTGGTAGGTTTTGTGTCGTTGAAGTCAATATCCAAATTTTAGTCTTTCAGATTTTCTGAAGTTTTTTTTTCTGGTTTAAGTGGTGGGTAAGTGCATATTTGGCATGAGGGGAGATGGGGTCAGAATAATATGTTTTAAAAAGTAGTATTTGGCTGTGCAGTCTTTAGCGTTGTGTTAGTATTTGTGCCTTGGTCATATTAATGAATATATTTTGTTTTCCATGTGTTCCATATTACATTGATCATAACTCGGGTCTTGATTTAGGCTTTTTGTAGGATAAACAAAGACTTGAAGGATAATATTTCCATTCCCACCCCAAACCCT